TTTTACATTGATAGCATCCAAATCTTTCATATCACTTTAACAAGACCGCTCTATTAACTTTAATTAAAATATACCTTTTCATGCAAAGGTAAGGTGATAAGTACATAAAATTAAAGTTTAGATGTTAGATATGTAAATACATAAATATTGGGTGATATGTATGTAAATCTTTCTAGTACTTATTAGAAAATCTTAGACCTTGATCGATCTCCATGATAAACAGAACTATAATCTTTGGTGCTGTTTTGTTTGAACCCCGTCTTTTAAAGGCACAAGGAAGGCAAATAAGAATTGTAACTCCTATTTTCTTTCGACTCTCAAAGCGACTTGAGATGAAAGTTTATAAAATGGTTTTGATTGAGTAGTGAGGGTTCCTATTTACATCTCTACACTATAAAAATAAAAAGGGAAGTTTACATACATACCACACAAGTCTTATGTATGCATATCTAACATCTAAAGTTTGATATTTACATTTATAACACTTTGGTGTTATAAACCTATGCATGAAAATGGGTATTTTGCTTTTAAAAAGTTAAAAATTGTGGTATTTTTTGTTCAATATTAAAGATTTGAGTGGTATGCTTTTAAATATCAAAGTTTAGGTATATATAAGAATTATGTGGTAGGTATGTAAATGCCTCAAATAAAAACAGGGTTTTCTATATCCACAGCATTTTTTTAAAGGTAAGTTAAGCTTCTCTATATATAGTCAATATTATACGTACTCCTTTTAGGTTAAACTTCTATCTCTTATTCTTAGATATTACATCACATGCTAATCCTAAATTTTTGCTCTCAAATTACATTTTCATCCCTTATTGGTTAAATTTTATTATATTACATTATATGTTAATCCTCCCAATTTGTTAATCTAAAGCTTTAAAAATGGGAGTTAAGTGTGATTTTAGAACACCCAGAGAATGTATATTTGAAAAAAGGGCACTATTGCCACAAGAAATTTTGACAAAATTTGGTTGCCAAAATGAGAACTATTTTAAGGCCACTCATCATTGACTTGTCCAACGGCATTTTCGTTTCCACCATTTTTTACATCTTTCCAATCATATCCTGCAACATGTTAGATCTTTATTCTTGTTGTTGGAAGTATTCCCATTTCACCTTTGCTTCTATATATTTATAATTTATTCTGTTACATTTGAGCTCTTTTATTTATTTATTTCATCTTAAATCAAAACCTGTTCTGCTCTTGCCAGATCTGCGTTAATGTAGACAAAAAGAGAGAAACAAGGAGACAGGTTGAAAACTGGAAACGCAAGCGAAGAGAAGAAAAAAAGCGTAAGGTTTACCAGCCTAATTTGGAGATCCTAAATCATAGGAAGATTTACATGCATACCACTCAGTTCCTATGTATTTAGATATCTAACACCTAATCTCCACTTTTTACATACATGCCACTTTCCCAATCCTTGAAAAGACAATTTCACTTTTTAAAAGTTAAAATGATTGACAGATTTGGGTGTTATAAATGTAAAATGTAAACTTTAGGTGTTTTGATATGTAAATATGTAAAAATTGAGTGGCATGTATGTAAATGCCCAGTATTACATCTACTGTTACTTTAATCATAATAACTTTTTCTCTCCAGGACAACATGAACTGAAGAGAAAGGAGAGGAAGAAAGCGAAGCAGGGTATTAAGTAGAGATAGGGCTCTGAAACCAGAAAGATTAGTTCAAACACTTGCTTCAACAAATGCTTGAAATTTTTGCAGAATTATTGACTAAATTATGATGAGATGCTAAAGTTTAGAGCTTAGAGAAAACTAATGATAGAAATCAATTATGATCACGATAAGAAATGTTTATGAAGTTATTATAATGTTGAAATGAATGATATTTTCTTCCTCCTGTTTGCCCTGCTTTTATTTAATTATTGTAATAAGGAGATTTTTTGGGGGTTGTGTTGTGTCAACTTTTTAGGGCTTGTTTTTGTTTTGGGACAATTACATGCAGACCAACAGAAACTTGCTATTTACAAATCAACAGCTCTCTGTCATCCATGTTTCAAATTCTCAAATATCAAAATTCATGGTAAAACTCAAGCTCTTATTTTGGTTTATTATCAAATTTTCAATGGTTTGATTGTGGCATGCATAAATCACCTCGGTGCTTAATTTGTAAATATCAATGTTTTGAGTGATCTGAATGTAATTATTCTTTTATTTTATTTTATTTTATTTTATTTTATTTTAAGATGCTTGTTTAGTATATTATTTGTTTTAAAAAATAATTAAAATAATATTTGTGTTTTGAGTATTTTTGAAAACAGTTAATATTGGCAAATGTGTTTTATTTTAAAACAAAACAAAAAAGAAACAAAATCAATGTGATCATAAAATATTTTTTAAAGTTATAAATGTAAATATTGAATTTAGGTGTTAGATTGGTACATAAGAATTGTGTGGTATGCATGTAAAGTACCCTTTTTTTTGAAGGCCCAAGCTTCATACAGTGGCTTTTGACAACAAAGAAGTAAAATTGTTATTGTGGGGCTCAAAAGCCATGGTTAATCATGCAACATTTTATCTAGATCTTATATCTATAGTTCAATTAATCTTTCTTTTGGTGGGGTATTTCTTGAAATATCCATTTTGAATGGGTATTTGCCGCATTTATTTTATTGAAGTTATTATTGTGATACTATCCTTAATTGTTTGACAAAGCCCTTTCACCATTGAAAAGTATCAAAACATCACATTTATGTCGTAAAAAATGAAGTATTGAGCTATCATATATGGTTTCGTAGCTTGCAACTTTGGGTTCCTTTCCTTGTATGGAAATTAAGAAAATAAAAAGAAATTAACATATATACCATACATTTATCATGGATTTACATATCTAACGCTTAAATTTTTGTTATTTATATTTATAATTCATTGGTGCTATAAATTTATGCATAAAAATGTGCATTTGACTTTTCAAAAGCAAGTAAAATAATATTTTTGATGGGATGCTAAAAGATTTGAGTGTCAAGCCTTCAATTTGATGTGTACTTGACTTTCAATCCTTTGAGGGGTTGGATCTTAGTTGGAATTGGAACCTTTGGGTCGAGCTTTAAATTTCTTTCTTTATTTGAAGAATATTTCATAATCTCATTCCTACTAATGATTTACTTAAACTAAAAGGTTTGGGTCTTTCTTCTTGCTGTGTGCTTTGCAGAAATCATGAGAAAATCAGTGCTCATATTTTTTCTAAATGCAAATTTGTTATGCTGGTTTTCGGCTGGTGCTTTTTCTGTCTCCCCTTTAGTTGTTGAGGCTGATACTTTGATTTTTTGTCTTTAAGTGGCTTAAAAATGGGGCTAGAAATTTATTATTTTTGAAACTAACTCTTTGATATTATGGAAGCATTGTGGATTGAAAGAGGATCATCATTGGAGTGTTAACATTCAAATGAAAAGAATTCTTGATTTGTCTAAACACTTGGTAATCCGTTGGTCTCATATCAAGAGAGAGAGGAATATGGTTGCTCGTTGGGCGGCTAAGGCTGGATTGAAACTACATGGTGTTTTGGTTTCCAAGTTTATTCCAATTGATCTTTTGAGACTAGCATTGAATGATATTAGTTAATTATGTTTTGTTTGTTTTTGTTTGTTCTTGTTTTTGTTTCTGTTGTTTTGGGTGTATGTGTTGTATTTTGCTTTTCTTTTGGAAAATGACGTTTAGATTTTCTTTTTTTTGCGTGAGTTGTATGTGGGTATTAGGTAGGTCATTTTCCTTCTTTTGTAATTCTTTTTTTAAAGAAATGCATAAGGAGCCGAATAATGCTCTTTCAACAAAAAAAAAAAAAATTATTTGAGTGTTATGAATGTAAATATTAAAATTTAGGTGTTGGATATATAAATACATAAAAATCTTATTTAGATATTATCAAAACTTTAATTTTTTTACATTTATACCACCCAAATCTTCATTATCATATGAAGAGTATCACCATTTAACTTTTAAAAAAATGGAATACATCTTGTTATGAGGTGGCATATGTATATATATATATATATATATAAATTGAAGTTTTGGTGTTTGACATGTAAAAACATAAGAACAGAGTGCTATGTAAATATTCCTTAATATTACAGGATGCAGACTCAGAAGAAGGTATATATGTTTGTGGTTATATATGCTCATAAATGTAATTAATATATTTATTAATTACATTTATAAGTAAATTAATATAATCTACAAGTAAAATTGATGCATTTGTGGTTATATGTGTTCATAAATGCCACCTTACCTATGCATGAAACTATTTGATGTGAATATTTTATATGAAGTGGAGTAGAAAGACGTGCCTTTTTTTTTTTTCTTTTCTTTTAAGAATTCTAAGATTCTTTTGGATGATCAATTCTAAGAATAATGCTTTCCAAATCACTTCACAAATTTTTTTCATTGTTTCAATTTTCTCGCTCAATATTTTTTCGCATTCCTCCCACGAAAAAGAGCATTTTCAAACCTGCCCGGATGCAAATCACCAGAGGCCATGTTGATGCAAATTCACGCGTATGGTGAAGTGGCCTAGCTCCCATGATTGAACTTATGCACGTACGAGCGTAATATTCTCTCCCCTTACACATTGCTCTTGTAAATCACTGCGACCTCTAAATTTTATTTACGAGCCATTTACATACACATCGCCCAATTCTTGTGTATTTACACTTAATTTAGGATCTCATTACTTCCCCCTTCTAACAATCCAATCTTGAATTCAATTGATTGCATTTCTCCTCTCTTTGATTGCCACATCTCCATTAAAACATCATTTCTTTTTCAATGCTCATGATGTGGATGGTAAAGAAGAGATTGATGGAGGACCTAATAATAAATAGTTTGGTGCATGTTTTTTTCACTAAAAACAAATCAAATTACCCTTTCATAATTTATTAGCTCAAAGAATTTTGCGTGTAGACCCTCCCAATTTATGATTTTTATAGAAATCTTTTAAGCCATCTTTATAACAACTAATTGTTATAATTTTTCTTCACTTTGACATTCAATCGTCTTGAATTCTTTTTAGAAAGACTCCTAACCATCCGATCATAACTGAATAAATTTTGGCGCGATCATGACCGTTTGTGAGTAAAATAATTGCAAAAGAATGAAAATGTTTTTCACATGATAATAGAATGTATGCGGCATGACAAATAAATTTAATGGTTCCCATGTGAATGAGGGGCTACTATTGTGGCATAGCCTCATTGGTCAATTAGTGATGCAATTACTCATTATTAATTCTTCATGATTACATTATGATATTTTAGGCCTTAATTAATTTGCTTTTTATATTAATTACTATTTCCTTTCATGAATTTATTCATTTTTTTTCCATGCAAAAAAGAAAGAAATTACTAATCAAAATATCTCCTATTTGCTATTCATATTAGCTATTAATTATGTCTACTTGTCGCTTAGGTATTAGATATGCAAATACATAGGAATTAAGCGGTACATATGCAAATCTTATGAATTGTATACAAAAACTCAGTTTTCATGGACCAAGGCCTGCGTCTCATAGGCCTCTTTAGTCTCATTAGCTAAACTAACCAGAACACGCTATGGTAAACTAACTCGTCGATATGGTATGCATGATCCTTCTAATGAACTGACCATCTAGGTTTGCCGGCCCTGCTTACCTCAACGATCCTTGAAACTATCATAACATAAAAGTCAATACCTATGTCATATCCTCATTTACGAGCAACCTAACATATATGTCCTAATCTTTTCATCAAAATTCCATGAAAAGATTCTGTAAAACACGACTTATATTCTAATATTTTCTTAAACGATTACAAAAAAAAAAAAAAAGAGGCGAAGTTGAACTAAATCCTATTAAATATATCCATTAGAAAGAAAAAAAGAAGAAGCTTCTCTAATATTAAGTGTGCGTGTGATGATTCTAAAGATCTCTATTTTCTATTTTTTTTTTATATTTTTTTCACATAAATATTATCCTTTCCGTCACACTCAAGCAGATATTATCTTTTGACCAAAAAAAAAAAAAAAAAAAAAAGATAATAATTAACTTGCCTATGACGCCATTGATGACTTGTATAGCAAGCTATTTTAAAGGACGGCCTCCCCAACTAACTGAAATCGATTGATCACTGACTAATTACACAGTTGCTTATATATTTATGGGGGAAATTTACGTGTATACCATATAAATTTTATGTATTTATATATCTAACATTTAATTATACTCGTATTTACATGCCTACTACTACTGGGTATGATATGTAAAGAATTAATGCATTTTGATTTCAAATCAATGCAATATTTGTTGAATAGTATTCATATATGGAAAAAATATTACATCAGCACTCACGCATGTAACTCTACGTACGGAGTCCAATGAAATTATGCTGTGGAGGTGACCAGCCCGATAATACAAGAGAATATTCCTCTCGTGTTATTCTGTGTTATTCAGATGTTATTGTATGTTATTCATGTGTTATTGTGTTATGAGAATATTCTCGGTATTATAATAACACAATAATACATTAATAATACTTGAATAACACACAATAACACCTGAATAAGATACAATAACACATGAATAACACGAGGGGAATATTCCTTGTGTTACCGGGCCGATCGACTCCACGGCGTAATTTCATTAGACTCCGCACATAATTCTACGTGCGGAGTCCTGATGTAATATTTTTTTTTTTCTCATATATGGGTGCATTATATAAATTCATGATTTTCTTGAGCTCTGTTGTTGAAATGTTAGATGTATAAATGCATAATGATTATGTGGTATGCATGTAAATCGTCGGATATAAAATAAATGGGGAACTAATCTAACAGCCAAATGTGATAGCGACACTGTTAGAATATGTTGT